TTTTTTCTTTTTGCTTATGTGGTGCTGAGGAATCGAACCCAGGGCCTCAGGCATGCAAGGCAAGCGCTCTACCACTGAGCCACCTTCCCAGCCCAGTAAGTCCATTTTAATATAAAGTTCTTCCTTACTGAAGAATTACAGTGATAAGTGTGAAGGAATGAGATGAACAAAGAGGCAGCTAAAAACTCCCACCAATTTCGATCATTAGTTACAAACAACCGCAGCTTCATAGTGGAGACTCCAGCAGATGCTACCTCAGCAGACGAATCAGTTCACATTATCAGTGCAACAGAGCTCTGTAGAGAAATGATGTCAATCCCACAGTGTCTTTTCCAACTGTCCTTTTGTTAGAAGGCAGCCCAAGACTAAGGAACAGTCCACAAGCCCCACTGACTGGTGGTTTTAAGGAGTGTCCAGTCCTTGAAAATGAAGGATGAGGAGCTGGCCAGGTGCTACTAGCCCCCTGACTTTGTCAGTGAGGGATACTTGTTAGGACCTGGAACAAACTATGGATAACTGGTGACAGGTGTAGTGACATGAGGCCCACATGGGTCAGTCACTGCTCTATATGTGAGTCTGCAGCCTCCTAGCCAACCAGGGGGTGGCAAAACAAAGGTTAAAAATGGCCATACCCAGGAAGAATTGCCTTCTTCAGGTTAGTACTGTTGTGTCTGTCTTGTAGAACTGCAGTCTTTTCCTTCATAAGTTTTGAGATTTCCTCAACTACAGTGTGTCCCTACCTCCAGCTAAGTGCAGAATAACATGGGTACCAAGCCACCAGCAGGCCATTTCTAGTTTTTACCTGAGGGGTCAAGGGAGCGACAGTGGCCAGTTCACTTACAAGGGCTCTTTCTATGGCACTGCCATGACCATCAGTCTCACCCTTCCACTCATATTTTCCCTTTGGTGAGTTTCCATTCACTTCCTCTCATTTTTTTGTCAGCCCTATATATTATTTCTGCTTCAAACTTCTACCCCCAAATTATTACAATTAGGGATTCGAGAAAAGCAATCTTGGAAGGAATCAGAGAAAGTAAGTTGAGGGAGGAAGTAGGCTAGAAGAGAACAGATGATACAAATGGTTATAAGCAGGACAGAGGGAGACCCAGTGCCCCTAAGAAGTGGAATGTCCCACCTGGTCCCAGCACTAGTGAAACATATCTGATCATGTGTACAGAACATATCTGTCCGTGCATGATTATGTGTGCATCTGCTCATGTGTGATCATTGTTATAAACCATCTGCCCACATATGATCATGTATACATACCATTTCATGTCACTGTACTCAACACAAGTGTTGCCCACAGATGTTTGTATTCAGCTTTTGTGTAACTATAGACACATGCCTATGAGCGTGTCACTGTAATTACACATGTTACCATAGCTTGCGTATCATCTGCTTATGTGTGATCAGATATATGCCAACATGCATGTCGCCAAAGCCTATACATAAGTTACCTGATACACATCAGCTTCATATCATTGCAGTGTACATGTTACCACAGCATACCTGTAACTTACCTGTGTGTGATCATAGATGCATGCTGAAGTGCATGTGTTACCTATATGCTTGTATGTGACCATAGCAACAGGCAGTGTGCATGCCACTGCAATCTGCATGTGCATTTACCACAGTGTGGTACTTAACAATTATTAACAGTTTTATTCATCTCAAGTTAGACTAGCCTTTCCTAAAATTATTAGTTTCATTTTTTTACATTTTGAGTGATACGTATTCAAAATTTGCTTTCCAGTAATGTATATTAATGATAGGATTTATTTCTAGTAGTGTGCATGTTTCGTTTTATGGCTTATGCAATCAACATGAAGTATATACCATCATCATTTCTACTTGATAGAGGAGGAAACTGATGCATACATATTTAGTCAGGAGCCAAGGACTGCAGGTAGAGTATGGGAGGCAGACTAACTCAGAATCCATTTAAACAGCAGTCCCTATTAGACCAGTGGTTGGTACCTGAACAAGTAAGCAAGACCCTGTCTGAGATGAGCAACAGACATTTGGATCTGAGAAGAGCAGCTTTATGAGTTCCCTGGAATTCATGGTAGATAAATTGCTTCTGTGAATAAAGTATTTGCGTCTTAAATGTGAGATTTCTCCTCTCTGAGCTAAAGTCAGACCCATTAATAAGCATCCACACTCAGGAGCCAGTCACTTAGGCTTATTTTTCTTAAATTATTTTATTTATGGTTTTAATACTCATTCTGTTGTGTTTTCTTTTATTGATCTGCAGTCCACTGGAGACAGGAGTCACCTGTGTGCAGACTCCATGTGTGCCTTCAGCAAACATCTGTGTTTGCACTCCCAACAAGACAGGGCACAGACACTGCTTTAACTTTCAACAACCATATTGATAATTATTGCACATACTCGGCCAACCTCCAGCAAATCTGACTACAGAGTAAACCGCTTATCTCTTACATCAAGAGATTAAAGTTAAATTCCTTTTAATTCCTGAAGTAAAATGAGCCACGTATTTAATTATAGTTAAATTTTATAGCCAAAGACCAAACACCCACTACTGGCCAGTCTGAGACATGCACTTGGAAAATAGAGATGAAAGGACCCTGCTTAAGCTATGTTGGTGGAACATGTGGACATTTTTCTGCTATTTCTTTTAATAAGCTGCAGTGTGCATTTGAGTACCCATACATTCCCATGTAGCAGAGACTAGGACTCAGAGCCACTCCACTGGGATTCACTCATGTCCAAGGTAAATGCTTAACTAGAAGGTTGCATATGGTTACAGCTCAGTCCCCTGCCTTTGCTAACCTCCTCAGGACCATAGCAAGGCTGTTCAGCATACATATAAGCATCCTACCAGCTTCCAGGCTTGATCCAGGGACTCAAGTCTGGACTCAGGATGGCATTACCACCACACGTCCCTGCAGTATGTCCTGGGCCCCTGTGATGGCACTTGTCAGAGTACCCACCCTGAGGGACTCTCCCCAGAGCTTTGGAGTGGTCAGTGATAGCACACGCCAAGTACTGCACAGGAACTCCAGGGAAGCCCCATGCCCCAGGTCTCCTCCCATGGAGTGTCTGCCTGATTAGAGGCCATACTGCTGAGAGCAGAGGTGACAGCATGAGCTCAAGGCTCTGGTGGCCTCTCACCTGGCCTGTGCTAACCCATTACTAGGGCCTCCCCTGGTGTAAATCACCTGACAGTTCTCCAGCACGAAGAGTACAGCTGGTATACCTGTGACTGGGCTCCTTGCACTGGAATTCCATTAGTGCACTGTAAAGGAAGGCCAACCAGGATATCTGGCCCACAAATGCAAACCTGGGTTCACGTGGAAACGCAAAGCCTCGTGCATAAGAAGCCATTCTGTCTCTATATGATTTACTTACATGACAGCTTTTCCTGAACGGAAACTCGTTTTTTACTGTAATTGGCATGCCTCCTCCTTACAGAAGAGCTGTTACCTTGGGAGGGGAGCAGGAAATAAAAGGAGATTATTCTTATCACAAAGGAAATCTAGGTTACTCCTGGTTAGTTGTTCATCTATAGACATAACTTCCTCAGCTACTAGCACACCAAGGAACATATCGCCATGGCTTGAGCGTCAGCACATCTTAGCCAACCATGGGCACTGCTATACAGCATCTGCAGGGCCCAGGCCATAAGATCAGTGGGACAGTTCATGGTGTCAGGCCCTAAGGCTTTTGAGAAGCATCTTGTTCCTTGGGAAGCTGAGAGTCAGGTGGCAGTCTGCTCCACTGAGGAGATGGTTCTACTGTTTGTTCCTAGGGAAGATCCCTGTCCTTCAAAACCTTCCTCATCTGGGTTCTGATCAGCATCTACCAAGGTAAGGCGGGTCCTGACCTCACTGAAACAGTGGGTTTTTTGTGGAGTTTTGGTCGATTGGTTTTTTTGGTTTGTTTGTTTGTTTTCTTGTCTTAGCAATAGCATTTGCACTTCCAGCTTAAAATCTCATCAGCAGTTAAATGTTGCCTTCTTTTTTCTTCTTCTTTTTCTTTTTTATTGTGAAAATACTGTACAGAGGGGTTACAATTACATGGGCAAATAATGAGTACATTTCTTATCAAGCATTGTAGCCTCCTCCTTTGTTTCCCATGCCCATCCCCTCCCCCCCTACTCTCCTCCCCCCCCCCCCGCCCCCACCAAAGTTGTAAAGTTCGTTTTTTGGCATAAGATTTGTTTGTCTCATTGTTGCAATGGGTTCACTTGTATCCCTAGTTAAAGGGATTGTTTTTTCCCTTCCCCTCCACAAATTATAACAACATCAAATACAGTGAAAGCCTTCTTTTTTTTATCTTGTAAATTGATACTCTCACAAGGCACATTGGTTTGTTTTCTTTGATACCTATTAGCTAAAAAGTGGCCCGTTTTTAATTAAACATTAGTCCAGAAAACTGTAGCAAGCACCTTTTACTTTGTGTCCCTGCACAATGGTTTTCTTTCATAGAATGATGATAGCAAGGCTTTGGGAAGTCTGAATTACAAAACCAGAAGGCATTACCACTCTGCTGGAATTCTAGAAAGCGAAAGGCTGTTGCAGACAGAGTTAGGGGACATGGCAGGGATTCCATGAAACGCCTCCTCTTCGTTGACACCAGTCCAAGTGGCACTGTGGCTCTTTCTGCAGATATTGAAGAGTTGGTGAGCCTCTGCTGGACACACCTGGGTGAAGCAAGTGCACATCTTATTTTACCCCAAACCCATGTCTGTCCATGAGAAGCGTGTGTGCCTGATCCCTGTCTTAGGTGTTCAGAATGGCTCGTTTCCGTGTTCCTTTTCTTGCTGGCTTCCCGTTGGTGGGAAGAGCTGACTTGTAACAGGCCGCTCTGCCCGCTGTCTTCCAGGTGGCATTCTCATGTATGGGGCGCTGGTGCTCTTCGAGTCAGAGTTTGTCCATGTGGTGGCCATCTCCTTCACCGCGCTGATCCTGACCGAGCTGCTTATGGTGGCACTGACCATCAGGACCTGGCACTGGCTGATGGTTGTGGCAGAGTTCCTCAGTCTGGGCTGCTACGTGGCCTCTCTTGCTTTTCTTAATGAGTATTTTGGTAAGTCGTTTCACAGTTTTCCGGGTCCTTATCTAACATTTGTTATTGTTACTTCTTAAAACATTGTTTGAGCTCCCAGAACAGAATAGAATTCATATTAGAAAGTTTCATAACAGAAAAGCATATTTTTGTGACAGATAAAATCCTTGCAGTGACTTTCAGAATTAGGATCTTTACCATCTTGCCTTTTATGAAGATGTTGGAGTTGTATTTGTTTCCAAGAATGCTTCCCACGCCAGCTGTGCTGTTTGTACTGCTCCAAGGCAGGCACTTAGGAGAGGCAGCCTGGGCACAGAGAGACACCTGTGCTCTGCTTCTTCCCTGGGCTGTCTACACTGGGACACACTTGCTTCAGCAGCCTGGCCAAGCACCCCTTAGTGAGGGGGAACACTATGTTCCACACCATAGGGTCTGCGCTGTCTTGCTGACCAGCCCGGCCCACTCTGACACCAGCTGAACTTGAACTACATCTGGACTTGAACTCCCTAAGTCCGGTTCCTAGAAAGAGAACCATGGGAGAGGTGCCAGGTGGGTGCTGGACATGGGGTGAGAAGGTTGTCACTGTCACCCCCCATTAGCACTGTTGTCTACAGTGGAGAGGGGATTAGTCAACGAGGTTCCGACTCCATACAACTGTGTCACTGCTTCCCAGCAGAGGCCAGGGCTCCCTGCATGGCCTGACAAGCCTCTGCATGTCCGTGTTGCTGACCCTCCTCGGGCAGAGTGAACCGTTAGAATCCATCTGGTCTCTGCCCACATACCGGCAATCCTCTGTCTCCACCATTCCAGGACTTCCCTTCGCACACCCCATTCCCTCGCTCACCTGGTTAAGATGAGGAATGACAAAGCTTATGTCATAATCCGTTAGTCAGATGACCCCAAGTCATCGCCAAGTTGGTTAATGTGCTTCCTTATAGTATGGTTCGTAGGGATTTTATGTGAGTCATTTCGCATCTGGCCTCTTGGTTCATGGAGTGTGGCCAACTCCCCATCTCCTGGGCAAGAAAAGAAAGGAGGCATAATGCAGCCTACATCCCTGGTACACATGAATACAGCCTACATCCCTGGTACACGTGAATACAGCCTACATCCCTGGTACACGTGAATACAGCCTACATCCCTGGTACATGTGAATATAGCCTGCATCCCTGGTACACGTGAATACAGCCTACATCCCTGGTACTCATGAATACAGCCTACATCCCTGGTACATGTGAATACAGCCTACATCCCTGGTACACGTGAATACAGCCTACATCCCTGGTACACGTGAATACAGCCTACATCCCTGGTACACGTGAATACAGCCTACATCCCTGATACACATGAATACAGCCTACATCCCTGATACATGTGAATACAGCCTACATCCCTGGTACATGTGAATACAGCCTACATCCCTGGAACATGTGAATACAGCCTACATCCCTGGTACACATGAATACAGCCTACATCCCTGATACATGTGAATACAGCCTACATCCCTGGAACGCATGAATACAGCCTGCATCCCTGGAACGCATGAATGCAGCCTACATCCCTGGTACTCATGAATACAGCCTACATCCCTGGTACATGTGAATACAGCCTACATCCCTGGTACACATGAATACAGCCTACATCCCTGGTACACATGAATACAGCCTACATCCCTGGAACACGTGAATACAGCCTACATCCCTGATACATGTGAATACAGCCTACATCCCTGGTACATGTGAATACAGCCTACATCCCTGGTTCACATGAATACAGCCTACATCCCTGGTACATGTGAATACAGCCTACATCCCTGGTTCACATGAATGCTGCCTACATTCCTGGTATGCGTGAATGCTGCCTACATCCCTGGTTTGTGTGAATACAGCCTACATCCCTGGTACTCATGAATGCTGCCTGCATTCCTGGTATGCGTGAATGCTGCCTGTATCCCTGGAATGCATGAATACAGCCTGCATCCCTGGTACTCATGAATGCTGCCTGCATCCCTGGTTTGTGTGAACGCTGCCTGCATCCCTGCTTAACGTGAATACAGCCTGCATCCATGGTACACATTGGCATGTGGCCCCATAGCCTGAGCCTAGAGCCAGTACTCTTCCTGACCTAAGATAGGTTCAGATTTTCAAAAGACGAACTATTGCACCTCACCCCTGAGCTGCCTTCCTTCACCATGACAAGAGTGCATCACTATTCTGGCAGTTGTCAGAGAGGCACTGTCCTAGACAGTTGTCACACGCGTGTGTGTGTGGTGAGGCGTCGTCCTAGACAGTTGTCACACGCGTGTGTGTGTGTGGTGAGGCACTGTCCTAGACAGTTGTCACGTGTGTGTGTGTGTGGTGAGGCGTCATCCTAGACAGTTGTCACACGCGTGTGTGTGTGGTGAGGCGTCGTCCTAGACAGTTGTCACACGCGTGTGTGTGTGGTGAGGCACTGTCCTAGACAGTTGTCACACATGTGTGTGTGTGTGTGGTGAGGCGTCATCCTAGACAGTTGTCACACGCGTGTGTGTGTGTGGTGAGGCACTGTCCTAGACAGTTGTCACACGTGTGTGTGTGTGGTGAGGCGTCACCCTAGACAGTTGTCACACGCGTGTGTGTGTGTGGTGAGGCACTGTCCTAGACAGTTGTCACACGTGTGTGTGTGTGTGTGGTGAGGCGTCGTCCTAGACAGTTGTCACGTGTGTGTGTGTGTGTGTGTGTGGTGAGGCATCGTCCTAGACAGTTGTCACATGTGTGTGTGTGTGGTGAGGCGTCATCCTAGACAGTTGTCACACGCGTGTGTGTGTGGTGAGGTGTCGTCCTAGACAGTTGTCACACGTGTGTGTGTGTGTGGTGAGGCACTGTCCTAGACAGTTGTCACACGCGTGTGTGTGTGTGGTGAGGCACTGTCCTAGAGAGTTGTCACACGCGTGTGTGTGTGGTGAGGCGTCGTCCTAGACAGTTGTCACACGTGTGTGTGCGTGTGTGTGTGTGTGGTGAGACGTCATCCTAGACAGTTGTCACACGTGTGTGTGTGTGTGTGGTGAGGTACTGTCCTAGACAGTTGTCACACGCGTGTGTGTGTGTGTGTGGTGAGGCGTCGTCCTAGACAGTTGTCACACGTGTGTGTGTGTGTGTGGTGAGGCGTCGTCCTAGACAGTTGTCACACGTGTGTGTGTGTGTGGTGAGGCGTCGTCCTAGACAGTTGTCACACGCGTGTGTGTGTGGTGAGGCGTCGTCCTAGACAGTTGTCACGTGTGTGTGTGTGTGTGTGTGTGTGTGTGGTGAGACGCCGTCCTAGACAGTTTCACACGTGTGTGTGTGTGTGTGGTGAGGCACTGTCCTAGACAGTTGTCACTTGTGTGTGTGTGTGTGTGTGGTGAGGCGTCCTAGACAGTTGTCACACGTGTGTGTGTGTGGTGAGGCGTCGTCCTAGACAGTTGTCACACGCGTGTGTGTGTGTGTGTGGTGAGACGCCGTCCTAGACAGTTTCACACGTGTGTGTGTGTGTGGTGAGGCACTGTCCTAGACAGTTGTCACACGCGTGTGTGTGGTGAGGCGTCGTCCTAGACAGTTGTCACACGTGTGTGTGTGTGTGTGGTGAGGCATCGTCCTAGACAGTTGTCACACGTGTGTGGGGGGGGGTGAGGCGTCGTCCTAGACAGTTGTCACACGCGTGTGTGTGTGGTGAGGCGTCGTCCTAGACAGTTGTCACACGCGTGTGTGTGTCTGTGTGTGTGGTGAGACGCCGTCCTAGACAGTTTCACACGTGTGTGTGTGTGTGTGGTGAGGCGTCGTCCTAGACAGTTGTCACACGCGTGTGTGTGTGTGCGTGTGTGTGTGGTGAGGCGTCATCATCCCTGCACTGTGGATGGTTTGTTTCCTTTGGGGTTCGTGGGCTGCAGCTGTGGTACAGCACAGAGCTCCAGAGCTGTGGCCAGTCTGACCACACCCGGGTCTGAGCATGTAGGTGAGAAGCACAGAAGTCAGTTACGCATTAAAGGGACCTCACACAACACATGCCGGTGGCAGGTAGGAAAGAGCTGCTTTCAGATTGGAACAGCACGGCTGCGTTCCTGTGTGGTCGTGAAATGATCCATTAGATATCTGCAGAGAAGCGCTTATGTATTTTTAAGGCACTTCATTTTAATAGCACGTTTCTTTCCTTCGACTACGTACCACAAAGTGTTAAAGTGGCAGTGGGCTGGCCTCGTAGACCAGCGTGCCTGCCCCAGGCGCTCCACATCCTGAGGGGGTCCGTGGGGCATCTGAGTGCTGGCTTCTAAGTCAGAGATTAGCTGGTGGTGGACATGAAGGGGTTAGAGCCACACTTCACACAGACACTTTTATTCCTTTTTAATGTATCTCTTTAGTGGGTAGCTAACCACTGTGATGTCTCCTTATCCTTCATTTCCTTATTCCTGTTTTCTCTTGGAACAGGTATAGGCAGAGTATCTTTTGGCGCTTTCTTAGGTAGGTGAAATTATTTTTTTTAAGAGTCTAGAAATTCAGCAAAACGGTGTTGACAAATATGTTTAACTGATTTTTAAAAAAATCTTCCTCCAGTCACTTCCAGCTGATGGCCACGAGCTCTCGCTCTGCCACCACCCGAGTGAATGGGCTTGGGGTCCAGGCTCTCCCTCCCAGAAACACTTGGGCCAGCTTCTGGCAAACCCTGGTGTAATCTGTGACCTGTCCTCTATGGGCCCTGTCCCCAGTAGAGACAGCACTTGCTTCCTCGCATCCTTGATTTTTATACCAGTCTAGATAACTCCTAGTCAAGGTCTTTTTTCTTCCATCTTCTGAGAACAATCTGAAAGGCTTTCTGCGGTATGCAGAATAAACTGTACTGATGTTGGGTTTTTCACGTGTCTCTTCTCATGGGGCTCGTTGAAATAGCTCTCCACACCAGCAGATTCATGAGCATGTGAACAGAGAGTGCCGGGGGATGGGCCAGCAGAGCACTTAATTTAGGACAGGTTTGCCTAAAGTGGGATGGGGTGGCCTGCCTGCCCTCTCAGGGACTCCAGAGGCAGCGGTCAGCAGGACAGCCTGGGCACACGTTAGCAGAGTAAGTGGGGTGCGGCGGTGGACTGCACACTGTGATACCAGCTACGTGAAGCACTGGAAGGACTTCAGTCTAAGGCTGCCCTGGGAAAACGCACTGAGAAACAGGGCAAAAACAGGCTGGAGGTGTGGCTCAAGTGGTAGAGGGCCCTGAGTTCAAACCCCAGTGCAGTCAACAAAAGCAAGAACTAGGCATGTCTGAGCATTTGTGTCCTAGGCCAGGAGCTGCCTCCTGCCCCTGCTGCCCCAAGTCCATCCAGGTCTGCCTTACAAAGAGCACCGGCCCAGCCAGGCCAGCTCTCCAGGTCCTCCTGCACAATAGTGTCCTCCAGACTGTGGTTAGAGCCTGCTGAGAGTGCATGGTGACACCCGCGAGTGCAGCCATTACTGCTGTGCTGCTAGCGTGGAGACAGCTCCAGGCTCCGAGTGTGCCTGCAGCTCCAGTGTGGCAGTGCTGCGGCACGTGGCCTGGGCCCATGGGCAGCTGGCCTGCAGTCTGGTGTGTAGCTCTGTGACTGACGCTCCGTCTCCTTCACCTCCTGACAGACGTTGCCTTCATCACGACCGTGACCTTCTTGTGGAAAGTGTCAGCCATTACTGTCGTCAGCTGCCTTCCACTCTACGTGCTCAAATACCTGAAGCGAAAACTGTCCCCCCCCAGCTACTCCAAACTGTCCTCCTGAGGGTGCAGGGCCCAGGCAGGATGCCCTGCGCTGGGTAGCGTGGGGACAGGTGCTGCTGGGGCCTCAGCTGGCCCTCCTCCAGCACCGTCTGAAGTGTTCTGCAGGTCCTTCTGTGGTGAGATACTGGGGAAAGCCATGCCTTTCTACACAAGATCACGTGGTCACTGGAGGTGCCCGTGTGCTCGCACCCCACCCTCCGCAGGGGACCGCCTACACGCAGCCCACAGTGGACACGGCCGTGAGTCCTGCGTATAAGGAGCAAGCTCTTCATGTGCACAAACATAATCCCGTTGCAGCCATGAATGTAAACCATCTTCCAAAGGCACTGCTGTTAGGTAATGTGTCTTTTCGATTCCAGCCTTTTATATTTGTAAAGCCACACTCAAAACAATTTCTATCCATAGAAATGAGCTGTCCTGCGGAGCGCGCATCTCTGATGCTCACTGAGTTCTCTTGGTTGCGTGCCCACAGCTGGATGTGCACTAGCAAAGCGTCCTGGATGGCTGCCCCAAGGCACCCTGGGGGAGAGGGAGGCGTTTCTGTGGGGCCCGGCTGGTTTTGTGTGCGTTGCACAGCAGATGCAATGCCATCTGTCCGATGTGTGCTGTGCTCAGGACTCCATTCACCAGGCAGCGTGGCGTGAAGGAAAGTCTCCTCCGACCTTGTAAAGCAGGATGTTTTTACTTGCACTGGGCATTTTGTGGATGTCTGTCCTTCAGCTGATTTCCCATTGAATGTGGACCCTCCCCCCCCCCGCTCTGAAGCCCTTGGGAACGCCACGCTGCCATGAGCATTTTGGGGTCTCCTGACTGTGAGGTCTGCAGCGTGGCCCTCCGAGGTTCCCACCAGCCACCGCTTTTCAAAGGAGATACTTTTCTGCTGCAATAAAGCTTTTCTTCCCACATACGACTGTCATTATGCCTTTTGAATTGAATGCCTTACATGTTACGCAAGTCGCAGACAGATATGTGACCTCAGGAGCTATTCCTCCCACTCCCCACAAGGTGTCACTGTCTTGTCAGTTCTGCAGGCAGCTTTGGTCTTGTGGTTCAGGCTGGCTTTCTCTGTTTGGAAGAGAAGTGACCCCCAGCTCAGTGATGGCCAGGCTCACAGAGATGCCAGCAGCCTAGACAAGGAGGTCACATCACTGCAGTCAGGGGCGCAGAGCCCCAGCTCAGTGATGGCCAGGCTCACAGAGATGCCAGCAGCCTGGACAAGGAGGTCACACCACTGCAGTCAGGGGCGCAGAGCCCCAGCTCAGTGATGGCCAGGCTCACAGAGATGCCAGCAGCCTGGACAAGGAGGTCACATCACTGCAGTCAGGGGCGCAGAGCCCCAGCTCAGTGATGGCCAGGCCCACAGAGATGCCAGCAGCCTGGACAAGGAGGTCACACCACTGCAGTCGGGCGCAGAGCACACATCAGCCTGTGACCAACACAGCTGCAGCAAAATGTAAACACTAGCACACGAGCATACAGAGAAACAGAGTAGATAGAAGCCTTTGTCTCCAGGCTGCAGGCTGAAAATGAGCACCTTGGAGCAAATGAAACCACAGTTGGAAGGGAGCTGCACAGACGCCAGGTCACAGAAAGAGTATGTAGCACTGGTGCTCTGCCAGATTGAGGGGATAGCCAACCAAGTGATCACTAAATGAAGCTCTTGCCGCTTCCCTGGGCCATCTGGTCAGTGGCTCTGTCCACTCCACCCCAAGCTTCAGCAGGACCATACCTCTGCTTTGTATGAGGGAAGAGTATCTGGGCTGTCCAGAGGTCACCATCACAACCATCCCTGTCCATTGGGAGCTCCAAGAACAGGCCACAAGTACCCACTGTGTGTCCAGGACCCATAGAGACATGACACACACAGTCTCAATCATTTCACAAGGACAATTCACATGGGAGTAAGTGCATAAGACGTTGATAGTATGCACAATGAGGAGGGACTCCCTGAGAAGTGCAGTTGAGACCAAGACCAGAAAGCATCCATTGGTATGGAAAATGGAGAGAGCACTAGGTCCGGTCAGGTAAGGTAGGGCAGTCAGCAAGTAGGCAAGGCCTGTGAGAGCGTGGGTGGTGGGATGAATGGGAGACGGGTATAGATTAGGGGTGCGTGGGTGGGTCGGGGGGGCAGACAAGGGGGGTGTGGGTGATCCGGAGAGTAGATTAGGGGTGCGTGGGTGGGTGGGGGGCAGACGAGGGGGGTGTGGGTGATCCGGAGAGTAGATTAGGGGTGCGTGGGTGGGTGGGGGGCAGACAAGGGGGGTGTGGGTGGTGAATGGATGGGTTGGAGGGAGCATAGATGGAGGGTGGGTGACTGGAGCATGAATGGAGGGAGGTGAGTGGAGTATGGATGGAGGTGAGTGGAGCGTGGATGGATGAAGGTGAGTGGAGCGTGGATGGAGGGAGGTAGTGGAGTGTGGATGGAGGGAGGGAGGGGAGGGGAGGGGCCACACAAGCTGCAGTCCTGGGCCTCTCTCAACACCAGCACTGTGTACATTTACCACCTGGGAGCAGGCAGGAGGTGTGTGAACATACCTCTGTGCAAGTGCACAGAGGCAAAGCATCACGCTGCATCAGAAGCAAAGCTGGCCACGCCTGGTGATGCACCCCTGTAATCCTGGGATTCGGAAGACAGAGGCAGGAAGGGGAGCTCAGCTAGCCACGCCTGGTGATGCACCCCTGTGATCCTGGGATTCGGAAGACAGAGGCAGGAAGGGGAGCTCAGAAGGGCTTCATGCCATCCACAGAGAGACAGACGTGGGAGAAGATGGGGCAGACATCGTGTGCAGACAAGTGTCCTTGATGACTGGACATTCAGAGTGGGCTTCATACCCTCAGGTACCACTGGAGACAATGAAGGGTGGACTGGGAGAAAGGTGGAGCCACCTGACTCGAGCATGCTTGGCATCTTGACCACACCTCTCAGTAACAGCTGCACCGAAGTCAGAAGGACAGAGGTCAAGAGGATACTGGCGGCCGAATCACCCTTCGTAGCCACTGAAGAACGCTCAACAGGTCAGTAGCACCCGCAGAGAGCACAAATACTGGAATCAAGCCAAGTATGGTGATTAGTGCCTATACTCCTAGCACTTGGGAAACATTCTGAGTCCAAAGCCAGCCCTGGGCTGTAGCAAGACCCTATTTCAAAGCAATACAGAATCAACCATGTCTCCCAGAGCCATGGGCACACAGGTGGAAGGAAAAATGACTTGAAAAAGAACTACCTATTAAAGTGAAAGTATGTCAGAATTTGACAGATACAGTTAAAGCAATGTTTGAAGGAAGTTAACGGATTTAAATGCTGAAAAAAATAAAATAAAATCAACAGGTTAGAGTTTGGCAAGCTAGAGAAAGAATAGCAAAGGAGGCCCAAACAAGAAGCAAAAACAATTCTCCAGTTGCATGTGGATGTATGTCTTGTGAAGCCTTTCCATTGTTTCAATAAATACTTGCCAGATTAAAAAAAAAAAGAAGAAGCAAAAACAAGTTAATGCCAGCGAAGTGGAAAACTGACTGCAGTCAGAAACCCAAAGTTGGCCCTTTGAAAGGATCAACAAATAAACTTTAAAGACAGCTTGCAAGGGCGCTCACACCTGTGATCCTAGCCACTTGGGAGGATGAGATCTGAGGATAGCAGTTCAAAACCAGCCGGAGCAAGAAAGTCCATGTGACTCTTCTGTTGTTGTTGTGTTGTTTATTTTGTTTTTTTGTCAGTCATGGGGTTTGAACTCTGGGCCTGGGCGCTATCCCTAAACTCTTCAGCTCAAGGCTAGCGCTCTGCCACTTGAGCCACAGCGCCACTTCCGGTTTTCTAGTGTTTTATTGGAGATGTTTCACAGACTTTCCTGCCCAGGCTGGCTTTGAACCATGATCCTCAGATCTCAGCCTCCTCAGTAGCCAGGATTACAGGTGTGAGCCACCGGCGCCCAGCTCCATGAGACCCTTATCTCCAATTAACCACCAGAAAAGCCAGAAGTAGAACTGTGGCTCAAGTGGTAGAGTGCTAGCCTTGAGCTAAAAAAGGTCAGGGACAGTGCCCCAGAACAAGCACAAAGACCAGCAGACAGACCGCTGGAGACAGACTGCATGTGGTGGTCCTGTGACACCAGAGGCTGGGCGGGCTGAGCTCCAGTGGCCCCGTGACCCCTGTGGGCTGCGGGCGGGCCTTCCTGTCGCATGCCACCAGGCCAGTGGGGACGGGCTTACAGTGCTGGCAAGTCTTCACACTTCCTGCGGCTCTTCACACAGTGCTGGGTGTGGGGTCTGGCAGGTGGGGGTGGGGTGAGGCTTGCCAGGTAAGCAGTAAGGCAGGCCTGACCCTGAGTGTGAGTGGAGGGCGTGGCTGTAGCCTCCTGGGATTCCTCAGGTCCTGTGGTCTAGAAGGAAAACCAAGCCGAGTCCCCATCTCCCAGGACCAGTCTGCCCCAGCCAGGACGTCGGTGAGCTGGGCCCTGTGTCCTGGGAAGCACGGCCTGCCTCCTGCTCCCAAGACGGTTTCTGGAGTCACAGAGGGTGGCTGGGAGCAGGGAGGGAAAGGAGCCCTCGTCCTCACTGCTCACTGTCCCTCCCCCTGGGGGTCAGTCCCAAAGCCTGTCCTGCAGGTTTCCCTGCAGGCCCCATGCAGGCATTGCCCTGTGCACTTGAGCTGGGCCTTGCCAGCTTCTGGCCGGTCTCCCTGGTCACAGCAGGGGTCACCCGAGAGCCGCCCTCCTCCACCCGGGGCATGGACCACTAAGAGCCTTAGGGAGCAAGCCCCTTCCACCACTGAATTTAGGCTGTGGGCCCTGCCTCCTGGCTCCTGGGAGACACCCAAGTCAGGGGCTGTGTGGCGGGTGGTGCCTCCTTGCCTCCTGGTGAGACCAGCCTAGTACCAGGCCAGTGCTCAGAGCGTAGGCTGGGTAGTGGGGGTGGGGTGGAGAGGCAGCACAGGGAGGCAGGGACGTGACCTAGCGCAGGGCGGTCTGCCCCGGGCTGTGTGCCCCTGAGCCTACCCTGCCCAAGCCACAAGATCAGCAC